CACAGGTTTTATTTCTTTAAGTTACAGGGAGATTTGAAACTTGATGAAATGAAAACAGACATCATGCGAGACCTCTCTTCACTGAGAAATGGTTTAGATTAATCATTAGGAATATGTATTTTTAGAGGTTTTTAAATAGGGTTTCACCTGTTTACAAAATTTAATTAAATGTTGGCGTTTTGGCGCCATGCGGGTTCACTAGTTACATGTAAAACCACATTTTTAGCTGCATTTTAACATGTCACGAAAATAAGAAAATTGAGAACGTCAGTGTTTTTGTACAAAACCGCCCAGCGCGACCTCTAAAAAAACTTTTTTTCAAAATAAAAAAATACGTGTCTCTTTTTTTATCACAAATAAAAATATTTTGATGTAGCGTTTATGAATTTCCAAAAAGAGTGTTTTTTTGAACCACTCTAACCCATATACATAAGAACGTACTTACTGATTCGAAAGTATTTTATGGAAACAGAACTGTTTGAAGGTGCGTCTGAAGGTGCGCATAGAAGTGCCCACACAATTATGTTCTGGGAGCAGAACTGTTTGAAGCGCAGCTGGCTTGGAAGCAGCGTTCCCGTTTTGGCCCAATTGAACCAAAATTGGTAGCTTCAATCTCCGCTGGTAGCTTGGTTGGTTTGATGAAGCTTTTGGTAGGCAAAAATGTTTTGAAAATACAACCAATTGAACATTTGTTCGTTTAATTTGTGTTTACACGTTCAAACCACTGCTTCCACTTTGCTCACACGTATACGATAATTTTTGTTTTTATACCTTTCATGAGCATGAAATGGTATTATAACTTTGGTCCGATGTTTGTAAGTACCAGAATAAAAAGAGATAGACCCATTAAAATGTATACTTATATGATCAGAACGTCGAGCTGAGTCGATTTAGCCATGTCCGTCTGTCCGTCCGTCCGTCTGTCCGTCTGTTTGTATGCAATCTAGTCTCTCAGTTTTCGAGATATCCGAATAAAATTTGGTAGGTGGGTGTATTTTTATAATGTATTAATCATTTGTCGGAACCGGAAGAATCGGACCACTATAACATATAGCTCCCATACAACTGATTGTTCAGATGAGATTTTTCGTTATAACTTCTCCATTTATGCAGCTAGAAACACGAAATTTTGCAGTACTTGCACCCATTATCAACAGGTTACTTACAGTGAAAATTACAAAGATCGGGTGACTATAACCTATAGCTCCCATCACGGGCGCACCCAGGAATATATTTTAGGGGGGGTTTTATATTTCTCAAGATATATCACCGGAAAATAGTGAAAATTTGCTTCAGATAATACCCTCTTTAAATTACATTTATGCAAGTTTTCTGCACAATATGTAATAAATAAATAAACGTTTTAAAATTCATAAACTGCACTTTATTTACAGATTAACAGAACTCAAACGCTTTTAACCGACTTCAAAAAAAAACGGAGGTTATCATCTCGCCGGAATACATAACTTTGGACCACGTGAACCGTTTTCAATAATCCTTTTTTTATTAGAAAGGTTCGTCCCGTAATTTGTTTTAGAGATCCGATGATTGGATCATGAAGAAATTAACGGTACCCCTAAAATTGAATATGAGAATTGAAGTCGGTTGTGTTCTTTCCTTAAAAACTACTTGCTTAATAAAAAGTTCTATAAACTCAAGATGCGCTCAACTTTCAAAAGTACCTAATAAAAAATTTTAAAAAGAGTCAGTAAAAATAAATTTTTTAAATAAAATAAATTTTTGTTAATTTTTTCGATTTCTGGTTTTCGATAGATGGTGATTTTTCACGATTGCTAAATTTTTTTAATATTTCAAATACCGAAAAAATTAACTGAACTCTCAAGAAAAACGAAAAATTCATATAAAACGACGGACGAGAAATGGAAAAGAAATTTTCTTCTACCAAAATTTCTTAAATCAGTTTGCAGCTCTCAAGAAAAAAAAATGATCGTATATTTATTCCCTCGTGAAAATTTACAGCAAAAGCAAAGCGCTTTTTCAAGCAACAGAAATTATAATAAATATTTCTTATAATTTCCTTGAGAGCTGGATTCTTAGCTTTAAGATACAGATTGTATTTGAGGTTATTTGCTTTAGGGGGGGTTTGAACCCCAAAACCCACCCCTTGTGTGCGCTAATGGCTCCCATACAACTGATTGTTCAGATATAAAATGTTTCGTTATAACTCCTCCATTTATATAGCTAGGAACATGAAATTCCGCACTGTTTTCAATAATTACCAACAGAAAACTTACAGTGAAAATTAAAAAGATGGGGTAACTATAGCCCATAGCTCCCATACAACTGATTGTTCAGATATGAGATTTTTCGTTATAACTTCTTCATTTATGTAGCTAGGACCATGAAATTTCGCGCTGTTTTCACTCATTGTCAACAGAAGACTTACAGTGAAAATAAGAAAGATCGGGTCACTATAACCTGCAGCCCCCATACAACTGATTATTCAGGTATGAGGTCTTTTATCATAACTCCTCCATTTATGCAGCTAGGAACATGAAATTTCGCACCATTTTCACTCACTATTAACAGAATACTTACAGTGAAAATAACAAGGATCGGGTGACTATAACATATATGTATCTTCAATACATGTGATTGTTCAGATACAAAGTCTACTGAGAAAATCGTCAAAATCTATGCTGTATAAGCTTTATCTCTTATACCACTGATTGTTCAGATACCAGTTTTTGCGATATATCTCCTTTAAGTAGGAAACTAAACCCAATAAATTGTGTTACCGGGTTACATACCGATCACATAGCAGTGAAAATCACTTAGATTGGTGCTAATATAAGGTATATCTTCCATATCTCTGATTGTTCAGATCCAATTTTTTATATAGGTATGTAACTCCTGTATCGATGTAAGCAGATGTATTCAAAAGCAGTAATCTGTCAAAGTAAAATTTGCAGATGTTCATGAAAGGTATGAAGCCTTCGTCATAGCCGAAGACAGCGCTTCTCTTACTTGTTTTTTCTATATTTTATTAAGCAGACAATTTTCTGCAAACAAAAACTCTATCAAAGCTATGACCGATTAGCTATTGAAATAGAACGAGAAGTATGAAAGAAAAATTGGTGATAGGCAATTTGCAAGTGTGAGTGTATTGGTAAAAAAGGGTGAGTGTATGCAAATTGAAACAAGTTTGGAACTTTTTTTTATTGAAATGCATAAAATATCTGATTTTGTTTTTTCACACATAAAAAATGTTGATATGAATTGAATCACATTTACATTTTTTACATAAGTTTTTTATACACTATGTTAATTCTTTTATTTAAAGGCCCGGATTTCTTTTTTTTAACTTTAAAGATTGGTCTGAATTGATAACCAATTCTGTAAACAATAATAAGTGTAGTTTTAATTTTTACTGGTAATTTGTGTATCTAAAAACCCCGCAAATTCAAGGAATCTAGTTTTAATGACGAAAAAATTTTGGTAGTTTGGAAAATGATTTGGTAAGCGTTTTGGTACCTAAAAATATTTTCAAGTGGCAACACTGCTTGGAAGTGCCCCCACAATTTTGTTCCGGGAGAATAACTGTCATCATAAGCGGGAAACAGAAAATTGCGCTACTGGACTCAGTAGCCGACAGTCAGTAGCAAGTTGCCATACGTACTGTGAATTTTAGTATATGGTTGCCCATCGGCTATCAGTCGCCATACATAATAGGGCCATGTTTTTGAAGCACAGCTGGTTTGGAAGTGCCCACACAAATCGCACACCGTCTTCAAAAGGTGCACAACTCAAAATTGTCAAAGCATTCGAAAAATTATTTCTTAGCACATGATAATCATATGAGCAAGTGAGATCTTACCTTAGGTTTTTTTTTAACAAATTATAAACAAAATTTTATCAAGCTTTTGCTGAAAGGTAAATAGAAGCTCTGTTTACATTTTTAGCGCATAATTTCAAAAATGACAAATTTTGAGTTGTGCCTGTTTTGAAGACGGTGTTCAGTGGCGGATCACAAACGGTCAGCAAAAGAAGTAATTCTGACTGGGCCGCCCAACAGAAGTCCACCAGTGCTCTCACCAGCAACTAGCTCAAGTGCAAAACCAGGAAATTTGCTCAGAAAACCTTTTTTCGTTTGTGCATTAATCTTCCAAATTAACGATAAAACGTACATGTAAATGTGAAATTTGTAGCAAAACGTTTTCTAAAAAAGGAATTTTGTTGACAAACATATGTACATCAAAAGCATTGTATCGACAGCCTAAACAGCAAAAAAACAATAACTCAATGTATTTTTTGGTTACCCTATGGGTATTATGTTGTACTAAACTTACAATAACTCCATTCTCGATAATGGTGCAGAGTCACAAAAGTTTCACCTTTCACAAGTCATGATTATAATTTAGTTGTTCCCTTAAGGCATGTAAGCGCTACCCTTACCAAGGATAAATAAAATATCGTAATATCTTTCGTTATAAATTTATTCATTTAAATTTCGTCTCGTTTTTGAAAAATTTCAATAGTATAGAATTTCTCCTGAAATATCTTAGTATAGATATGTACATACATACCCAACGGGGCCAGAAGCGCTCCATTAGTTCTATTGGAGCGCTCCATATTCAGCAGTAAGCGCTCACTTCCTAATTTCATACTTCATTGTATTTTAATATTGTGTGTCATTAGAAAGAAGCGCTCCCTTGCTGCTCCCAAAGAAGCCCTTGGTGAGCGCTTCAACTAAAGCATTTAAAAAGCGATGCATGCAAATTTTAATATTTATATTATATTTTTGTTTTAATAAAAGAATGGCGTTTTTGTAAACCATTTGATGGTTTTATTAAGTGTACTTACATATAAACATGTTTTTTTTTCTTTTCTATGCGGTATACATACGAAAGTACATACATACATACATGTTTGTACATAAATTAACTTTTTTTCCAAAGGAAAATATTTTATTTTACTACTCAAAATGATATTTATTTCTGAGCATTGTTAGAAATTTAAAAATTTATTTTTTACTTTGCTTTTGTACTGCTCCGTACTTGCTCCTTTGGGGAGCAGCTAACTTTCAGTCCCGTTGTATACAAACAACTTTTAGACTTGTTTTCAATACTTGGAAGCTTGATTCTAATTTTGATTGTGCGGATATTAAACGATGATTTAGTCAACAAATTTATAAAAGGGACCGTGCACAGCTTTGCAAATCCATACGCTTTACAGTGTTTACGTGTAATTGTTATGTTTAGTAACAAGAAATTATAAACGTTACAGTTTACAAATTTTAAACAAATTTGTTAATATATTTACAACGAAAAAAAGTAGAAAAATCCTAATAATACGATGTTTAATATTTGGTCGGCATAACATTTAAAATTGGTTATATTAAGCAATTAAAATTTAATAAAAAAACGTCAATTTATTAAAGATTCTAGTAAATTCTTAGCTATAGAATCGGCAAAAAAACATTGTATGCCTTTAGAAATTTCTCTCCGAAATCGTTGCAATTTGGGTGGCGAAAATGCAATTAATAATATGGAAATAAATCATAAATTACAAAAAGTGTAAGTAAACTTTTTGTAAAATAAAAAATCCATATTTTCATCAAAAGAAGTAACATCACAATCTACATACGTAATATATTGTATATGTGTATGTAAATAGCAATACATATGCTTCGAAAATGACTGTTCGTGACTGTGGCTTTTCAATCTCAGCTAATGTTTTTATCCGAAAACTTTCTCGAAACACTCGTGGCAATATGGCTTGTCGTTTTGTTCCTTAAAAGTGCCTTTGTTGAGCTGTTTCAGACAGAAGGCGCACACAAAGTGTTCCGGATGAAACTTCTTGCACATGGCAGTAATGCAGCGACCAGTGATGGGTTTCGAACAGCCGGCACAGAGGGAGCCACGCTTAGCATGGTAGTGTGTCTCACAATAGGGCAAACCTTCGTGATCGAAGAAAGAGCCGCCTTGGAACGGCCGCCGGCAATCCTGGAAATAGCCAAAGAAATTATTTGTTAAAATGTATACTTGCATATATGTACATACGCACATCCATACATATGTACATACTTAGATATTTAGAATAGATTTATTGGCATGGGATATACAAATTTGCAACCAGCTTTGCTGAACAATTACGCGTAGTGCAGTATTTGGTTAACTTTTTAGAATTGGCAACGCTTCGAAGTTTAAGTATACCTAGGGATGCCAAAATATGAGGAAAATTGTGATCCCGGGATTTCGGGATACTTTTTAAGTAATCCCGGGATCCCGGGATTCACATTGAGTCATATCTTTTATGAATATAAGTAAAAATTTAATATCTGAAAACATTTAAACATACCATGAAATAAAACTATTTAAAATTTACGATAAACCTCACATATCGCAAGCTTAGAGTGAAAAATTGCTAACTTTACTTTTTATGAAAAATCATATTTTTATACAGGAGGCTATATAAATTAAAAAGGCATCGTTTCTAAAAGGATACAGTTCCTTGTTTTATGTTTTCTTGTTTATATTCAATTAAAGTAAAATTTGCTAAGTCCAAAAATAGCTCCGAAAATTCGATAAGGTCAAAATAGTTCGAAATCTTTTAATAAAGAGTTTTGCTTTGCTTTAAACAGGCGATATGTTGTATTCAAAGTTTTGCGAAGTACTTGAAGAAAATGGCTATAAGAAGTTTTTCCTCTCCTATACAATTTTTAAATTGGGACTTAGCAACTTTGCACTATAAGCTAGCGATATTTGTTAAATCAGACAAATTTTAAAGTAAAACATTTTTAAAATTGTATTTAAAAAACCATGTGATTGAGGAACGTATACATCACAAATAATGATGTAAATACCAGGTACTTTTGAAAGTTATGATTAATAAAAAAAAAAACATTAAACAAAAATATACATAAACGATTTCTCCAAAGTGGCGACCAACTTAAAAAAAATTATTAGATTTGTTTGAAACTCTTAACCGCCATTTTGAATTTTGAAAATCTGACATCAGATTCGTAATCAGCAACCCCAGAAACAAACTGGAAACGTGTTTTAACCCTTGACAATGTTTAAAACGTTGAGTATCAACGTTTTAATTTTAGTACTTTTTTTAAATTTGATCGCCATATTGGATCTACCATTTTGAATTAAAAAAAATGACTTCAGATTCGTAATCGGCGACCACAAAAACTCTCGAGTGCCGGGTTTCGAACAAATCCAATCCTTTTTTAAAAAATGGACCGCCATTTTGGATCCGCCATTTTGAATTTTGAAAAACTGACTTCAGATCCCTAATTAGCAACCCCAAAAACCCCCTCGTAACAAGTTCCAACCCATGACAATGCGTAAATCGTTCAGTATCAACGTTTTAATTTTACTAGTCTCTTTTCAAGAGCATATTTTCGGGCACTAGGCCCATTCTAACTGCCCAAGATAGGCATGTAATTAAGGGAATGTTTCCCAATAATACCAGAGTAATTATATGTAAAAAACAAATTTTTAGCTGCATTTTAACATGTCAAGAAAATAAAAAAATTTAGAACATCAGCGTTTTTATAAAAAACCGACCAGCGCGACCTCTAAGAAAACTTTTTTTTCAAAATAATAAACCAGTTTCTCTTTTTTATCACAAATAACAATAATTTGAGGTAGCGTTTAAGAATTTCCAAAAAAAAAAATTTGTTTAACCACTCTTTATTCTACTCTATAAAGAAATGGCGAATGGCGATTTTTTTGCCCTTTTTTTTGCAATTTACTCACAATTTTAAGAGTGTTTGAGTCATACGGATCTCAGAATCGGATTCAGCGGGTCGAAATACATGTTGGTAAATGGGCCTGGTTAAAAACACACACTCCTTTTTTGCCGGTTTTGTTATTATTTTACTTAAAATATTTGCGTAAGAGTAGCAAAGCATACAAAGCGGAGTCTTCTAATCTTGACCCGAAATTTTTACATACACAACCTACTGATGAAAAACATATTTCGGCCTCAAGACTTTTAGGCTAAACTGTCAAAAGACAAATGAAGATAATGACCCCTATCTCCTCCACTACAAAATTTCTTGAGTTGATTGATGTGAAAAATTATCTAACTTTTCCTTTTTTTACATTTGCGACGCTATGAGTAAAATCATTTAAATCGTCTTCAAAAAAGGCTCAGACTGCAATTTAAAAGTACAGTTTCAAGTTTTTTGTTAATTGCAGTCAAAACGGCATTTTACAAAGATCATACGTTAAAATCGTCGATATTTAAAATTTTTCGGCATCACGGGATTTATGCAAGCAAATCCTGGGATTTTCGGGACCTCAAAAACACCGGGATTACGGGATCTCGGGATTGACATCCCTAGTATGGACATACCAGCAGTGGCGGACCCAGGTAGGGGAAATTGGAAACAGCCCGCCAAGCTGCTGCCTCTCCAGTGCAAGAAGCGAGAGCCCGCAGTCAAATAACTGGTTTTCACAAATACGAGTAAAGATGGACCAGCAGAAAGAGAGCATCATCGAACAACTTTCCGAGTGCATGAAGAGATCCGAAGAGCGAGTGATGCAGCGTTTTGGTGAGTTGACGGCTGATCTTAAAAACTTAGAATTTGCCATCAAAGAGATCGAAGCCCGTGTAGTCAAAGCTGAAGCTGTGTGCGCTCACGTTGAGCAGCTGCGCGTTGATGCGCAAACGTTAAAGTCTCAACCTAACGACGGGAATGAGAGTTCTCGTATTATACGGCTAAACTCTGAAGTGCATACACTCAAAGCACAACTTGACGAGTGTCAAAATTCTCTTGTCTCGTCTGATGCTATCATAAGAGGTATCCCGCAGGCGAGTAAAGAGAATCTAAGAGATACCTTCTCCAAGCTATGTAGCGCTGTCAACATGATTGCTCCACCGGTACGTGATATTTTCCGCGTTCCCAATAATGACAACAACAACAGCAAAGCTACGGCAGCTACAGTTAAGCTAGGTTCTGCTAGCGACCGATGTCGACCCTGCAAAAAATTTGACTAATCCGGAATGACTCCGGGAGCAATCGCAAAGGAGCATGCGACTAATACCACTTTTGATCTCTTTATATGGAATGAACTGATCGCTTTTATTCGAGCATGTCCTATGAAGAGACTAATTGTTCCCCTTTATATTCGAACGGGTATAAAAAGCGACTAGTCACTTTAAAAAAAAATAAAAATTTGCGCCAGCTGAGATTCGAACCGGGGTGCTCAGTTTTGTTAGGCCAATATTCTCTCTGCGTGCCAACGCCGCACATAAAATTTCATTGACTAAGTGCGTACATATCATTAAATCGTTAATAGTACCCGTTAGAGATGAGTTGGGGACTAATTGATCTCCAATTATACCCATAAGGGATGAGTCGAGACTAATTGGCCTCCATTAGTACCCTTTTGAGACTAGTTGGGACTAATTAATGCCCAATTGTACCCGATTGAGAGTAGTCTCGGAATACTCTCTTTAGAGATTAGTCGCACAATTTTTCGCAGGGGACTTCTTAGCGCCGTAACACATTTCTGCAAGCAGAGTAAGAGATCAATTGCGCTGCGAGACATTGGACACAAAGCAGATGGGAGAATAGACATCCACGAGAGCCTCACCAAGAATAGCCGTGAAGTTCTGCAGTTCGCAATGCAGCTCAAAAGAAAACAACGACTGGCATCTGTGTTTTCTATGCGTGGATGTGTGTATGTTCGAGTTAAACCTAACCCTGCAAAAAATGGGACTAATCCGGGATGACTCCGGGAGCAATCGCAAAGGAGCATGCGACTAATACCACTTTTGATCTCTTTATATGGAATGAACTGATCGCTTTTGTTCGAGCATGTCCTATGAAGAGACTAATTGTTCACCTTTATACCCAAGCGGGTATAAAAAGCGACTAGTCACTTTTAAAAAATAAAAATAAAAATTTGAGCCAGCTGAGATTCGAACCGGGGTGACCAGTTTTGTTAGGCGAATACTCTCTCTGTGCGCCAACGCCGCACTTGAAACTTCATTGACTAAGTGCGTACATATCATTAAATCGTTAATAGTACCCGTTAGAGATGAGTTGGGGACTAATTGATTTCCAATTATACCCATAAGGGATGAGTCGAGACTAATTGACCTCCAATAGTACCCGTATGAGACTAGTTGCGACTAATTAATGCCAAATTGTACCCGATTGATAGTAATCTCGGAATACTCCCTTTAGAGATTAGTCGCACACTTTTTTGCAGGGAAATGCAACGCAGTGAAGGTGTCCAACATTGAAGATGTCCGTGTGTTAACAGCATCCAGCACATCGTAATCAAACTTTTGTATGAACATAGATAACTTTTTTAAATTAAGAACGATTTTAGAATGTATGACTTTAGTTTATAAATTTATTTGTTATATTTGCAATTTTTTCCTTCTTCCTATACTAGTTCTCATCTCCTTCTTCCCATTTCCTTCTACCTCATTCTCCCTCCACAGATATCGGACATACTCATATCTACTTTTCATACGGATATGCCCTTCTGTGATGCAATGTGCTATGTTTGTTTTTTATTTTTTTGATGCTCATGGCTCCTAATGGTGGTTTCGGTTCCAGAGACGATAGTTTCAACATGATTCGCATATTGAGTAAACGTAAGAAGGGCCTTAGAGTTTGCCACATCAATGCCCAAAGTTTAGCAAGGAAAATTGATGAATTTAGGTATCTGTTTGAAAATTCGAATGTGGACGTGGTGTGTGTATCAGAGACATGGTTCTCTCCGTGTCATAACGATCACTTATTTCATGTTAATGGGTATAGGCTCTTCCGCTTGGACAGAGTTTGTCATGGAGGAGGTGTGGCTATTTATGTAAGAAACGGTCTCTCGTGCAAATTTAACTGCGCATCGCCACTTTCCAGCACCATTGAGTACCTATTTTTAGAAATTTTTACTAAATTTGACAAGGTACTTATTGGCTGTGCGTTTATTGATTTTCTCGAGAATCTTACCATAGGCCACAACAAAATTAT